CTAGAGCTTTGCTCAATTTATAAATCAGCTTCCCTAGAAAGATTCAATGTCAGACCAAATTATACTGGAGTTTATCTGGAATATTATTTTATCTTTAAGTGGACTTTTTTTAGAAACACAACCTCTGAAATTTGTCATTGCAAAATTATCAATAATCAACATTTTGCTTTGCTATTGCTCTAATTATACTTATTTGAATTTTAGCCACTGAAAATGTTTTACCATTATTCTTCTTTATAATTTGTGTATAAATTATTTTGTTGTTGAACAAAATGTATGAAATTCAAAAATACAATGTACAATTATATTATTTTTGGTTGGTCTGGATAATTGAAGAGTATACTGTTTAAAGCTATACTGAGCATTTTACAGTAATATGTTTATTTGTAAAGCAACATGTGCTGATTTTACTGGCTGATAAACATACCACAAGATAAATTATTGAATAGGAACAGGTGAATTTAAATGAAGAATATTTTGAGTCATTCTATCAATGCTTTCCCAGATAAATTTCCCTGATAAATTACCAAAATATGTGGGACTTTTTCCATTTATTTATTGATTTATTAATTTATTTAGGCAATTTTTCACTCCTTTCATATCCAACAACTCTGGACTCTTACAGCCTAAACTTTACAACATTAAAATCAATTATCATTAGTTTTATTAGTTTTGCACATTAACCGATGTAGCTTTGATTTCTCTCATTCATTCCAAAAATATATCATCTGTATATCATGTATATATTTTATTGCCAATATTTGTGTTACACTAATTACTGTCATATCACATCCATAATACATTTTAGAAGAGCATGTCTAATTATCTCTATTATCCTTAGCCCTGAAAAAGAATAGCAAAAAATCAAAACTAAAATGTGAACAAAGATCTATTTTTCACTTGTATTGAACTCTCATTTTGTATAAATTTTGAATCTGTTTCAATAAGACATAGGAAATTTTAAAAAGATTGGAAAGACTATAAGGCTCTAAAGCACATGTAAAAAATGGAATTTTTGCTGAGAATGGTCACCGTGTTTTGCCAATTCAGAGTCATGGTGAATTTAAAAGCATTTACTACATTATTTTCTGATTCAGTTCTATAAGGATTACCAACATTTTGTAGAATTTGACAGAATTAACCTTTGTCTAACCTTCTGAAGTCTTAACTGCTAGGTTGGAACAGTAATAAATTTCAATGTTTAACAAGTATTATGAAGTAAAACAGGAAAAAAACTGTTCAGAATTGCTGGTATCAATATTTATTTTTATGTTAATTCATTCTCATGTCACATCTTGCTTAAACAACAACTTGGTATATACAATTTTGCTAACATCGAAGTCTTGTTTTTATTAAGACCTTAGAGCATAAAATATCATCTGTAGATACACTTGTAAAGAAATGAAAGCATTGTTCAAGGTGATGCCAGTTAACACTCGGACAGCATTAAGCACTATGTTTAGAGACAGATTCTCTACACCTTGAACAAAGAACAAGGTCTCAAATAATAGAAAAGGGTATTTCCAGGCTTGCAAATCAAGTCCTCTATAACTATCTTTTGCACACAGTGATCAAAGTGCACTGAAGTTCATTGCTTCATAGTGACACAGATAAGATTCTGTATTATGAAAGCATACCAAAAACCAAAACACAGGTGCTCAGGAGATTAGTACTGCTTGCAATGATAAACTGGCAGGGAGTTAATGGGAGACCGTTCTTGGGAAAGAGAACAGTTATTAATGTCTTTGAGGCTTAACTAGTTTTACCTGCTTCCCAAGTTATAGAGTTTAACAATTTCTCTGTGCATTGTTTTGATACTGGTTGGTTATGTAACTTCATACAAAGCCGACATTTTCTTCTATTTGTTTCATTTACTATAAAGGATAATAAAGAATTAATCCAAAATGGTATTATAAGAAATAAAAAGGTTGTTATAATGAATTAAGTTACCATCATGCTACTAGCTTTGTAAGAAAGAGGTGCTTATCATTGTATGTATATATCCTGGTTCAGACACTTCATTCATAAATCTAGGAATCCAGTCTTATTCACCTACCAAGATTTTTCTAATACATTAACAAAATTTGAGGATAGAAAACATATCGTAGTGATTCAGCTTACACAATTTGAAAGAACAATCCAATTACTGCAGGCAGGGTAGGCACATGAAAAGAACTTTAGAATTTGTGAACTAATTTTTAAATGTACTTGATTTTAAATGCACTTGATTATGAATAATTCCAGCTCAAAACTATAATTACAAAATTATCTGCATTTTTAACAATTGTTGCTCTTTCATCTTTAGGTTGTTTAATATTTTCATTGGGAAGGACATGCATAATTATTAGTATGGCTATATGTATATGACAATATTTTGTAATGCATTTAAGAAAGAGCTAGTTTGGTGTGGTGGTTAATGGCAGACCATGAATTCTAGTCCTGCCTTAAGCGTGTTGCTATGTGGGTAGCTTTGGGCTAGTCACTTTTGGCTATAAAAAGACAAAGAGCAATCCCTTTTGAAAATCTTGCCAAGAAAATGCAGGAACTAATCCAGGCTGTCCCTAGAATCAGTACCGATTTGAAAGGATACACAGAAAGGCAAAAAGAATGTAGGAATTAAAATGTAAGCTCGAATTCAGAGATAATTTTGAATTTTAAAAATAAATATTGGTTGTGAATACCATAACAATAAAACTTTGCAATGGTTTCAAAGTGAATTATTTGCTTTTATGCATGGACTTTAAATAGTTAAAAGCTGCAAAAGAGAGAGGTGCCTGCTCACCTATACATATGTGATGCTATTTTATTGAGAGACCACCTCGCCTTAAAACTACAACTGGGTAAAAATCAATGTGTCTAGTCAATGATTGCTTCATTCTCAGCTTTCTTTTATTTTATGAGGGAAGAATGTGGTTAACAGAAGGTGTTGCAGATTTATTCTATCATGACAGGCCTTGGGACTATCTTTTCTAGGTAGAAACTATTAAGCAAATATGTACTGTTGGGAGATGTTTTCGGTACTCACCGTGAGATATATCTTTGGGGTGGGAATCCAGAACAAGCCACTCTCCCACTTTGGAAGAATTTTACCCTCTTATTTAAGGCTGCCCCTCTAAGCTTTTGTCCTTTAGAAAGTAGACAAAGATCTTCCTGTCCCATAAAGCTTGGGGGAAGTAAATTTGATGGAAAATACCAGTAAATATTTAAACAATTTCAAAATTTAATATGTTGGATCTTGTAGATGTTTATAATGTATTGTTGTAAGCTACCTATTCAAAAGGTAGCATATAAATGTAATAAATATAATAAAGTGTTATTTGAAAAATTATGAGTCAGATTTTGACACAAAGGCTAAGGATTTCATTCCAGAAAATGGAGATTAAAAAAAAATACAGCTGACAGAAAAACAGCATAATCAGCACCTGGTAATGGAGAAGGCACATGGCATACAATAATAATGTATCTCTACAGCTGCAACCAATTTTTTCACTTTTTGTTTTTCTCCTTTGGTGGGCTAAAAAAAAAACAAAGGAGGTTGGATGAAAGATTCAGCCAAGCTTGGGACTCAAGACAAACTACAAAGTTACCCCTGCATGGCCCCAGGGGAGCCTGACAACCAATCAGAATACATTTCTTTCACAGGAACAGGAAGCAAGTTCAAAGCCCAAGAAAGGGTATAAATATATTTCACTCTCCACTCCATGTAGTCAGCTACCCAGGACCTCAAACCATGTGGTCCTGTTCACCATTAAAACATCCTTCCAACTAGTCTCCATGTTTCCAGTGTCTTTCTTCCCACTTGGAACTGAACCCAGATGGACATTTCTTCCAACAATAACATTAGAAATAAGATTTAAGCAGCATTCAAAAATCTAAAACTTGCTAATAGTTACTCAAATAGTATGAACTTCATCTAACAACACTAATTAACTTGGGATTCACAGTAGATTTACAATATATTTGCAATTTATTTGAAAAACAAATCTAAAATTTGTGCCAAATTAAAATGGGTAAAAGGGAACCAACAACCAGTTTTATATTATCTTTCATGGGTATCTCTTTCATAGGGTTTTAATAGCTTTTATATTTAAATCCTATTAATGTGATTTATATGAAATCATTTAAACCATTGTTCTTTTATGTGCATTATTTGGAACATGTGTTCATCTGGGGAAATATGTGAGATATTAGTTTTTTCTAGATAAACCCTTTCAATAGTTCAATCAATATACTTTTGCAAAGGTTAGCAATCCAGTGTATTTCTACAGTAGAAGTCAGATTGAAAAGATCCTCTTCTAATTATCATCAGATAGAAAGCCCAAGCTTACATACCAGTTTAAGGATTCAAGTCTTTTTTTTTATCCATGGTAAATCTCAGTACTTTCAAACAAGATGGGGCGATAAAAAGCTTTTTTTTTTTGAGCTGAACAAAACTGTGTATTTGCTACAGCAACATATTTGCATTGAAAAGGTATATTCGAGTGAGAAGTAAGGGGGAGAGGGAGAAATCAATGAAAAATCCTCACCAAAATGTTTTAACGTTGTTATAAACCACGTTTTACTTAACTGACTCAAGCACATTAATTCTCATAATTCCAAAAAAAATAAAGTATACCAGCTGAGTTCATACAATATGCTTGGCTAAGATGTGCCAGGCTATTTTCTGATTCAGCGTGTTACACCACTGGCTTTTTAATTCGGTAAGGAACAGCCCAATTAACCATGTTAGCATGTTTTAGTATAACTAACATCTGCTGGTATAACTCCAATTAAGAGGAAAAAAGGATGCAAGCCAGCAGTTTTCCCAGGTTTTACCTAGCAAATGTCAGATTGCCAGTCTGGGCGAGGTCACATCCTCTACCCCGAAATTCTCACCCCAAAGCTGTTCTTGGTGGCCTCTCCTGAGATAAAGGCACTCTTTACATGGGCAGAAACGCTCTCATCTCTTCCTGACATCAAAATCCTACGCTCTTGCGTACGGCTCTGGGTCTCTTAGGTACCTGATGGAGCATCTCCGCGGGGAGCTGTGACGCTCTGAACAATTCTGCCACTTTACTGCCCCCCAGAGCGGGGAGGCCCAATCCCGGCCCCGTCTCGGGAGTAGGCTGGCCGCCGCCGCCGCCACAAAGCGAAAAGAGCTCGGAGAAATACTGCTGCTCGTTCCCCGCCAAAAAGAATGCCGAGTTCCCTGCGGCTGCCGGCCCCGTGAGAGGTGTTCCAGCCGGCTCCATTGCAGGGAAAGGGCGTCAATCGCTGTTCTGAGGCGAGGACAAAACTCCTCCAGAGGAGGAAAAATCCTCCGTCGTCGCGGCACTGAAGATGCAACCCCTCTGGTGGCGGCGGCTGCTCTCCAGCTGAGCGGCAGCCGCCCGCCCGCCCGCCTGCCTTGCCTGCCTTTCCCCGGTGCGGAAGAGCGCTATCTCTGCAGTGCTGGCCCTCAGGCGGGAGGAGGACGGGAAAGAGCGAAGACGAGTTTCCGCGCGCCTTCTCTCTTTTTGCGGCTGAGAACGCGCCTCTGCGGTCTCTGCTACCGCACCTCACGCCGGGCTGGAGTAGCGTGGGCAGTTGGCTGCTTTCGCCTGGGGCGTGGGGGGGAGCCAAGGGACTGTCGAGCTGGGAGGCTGTGTGAACCTCACAGGGCGAAGTATACGGCGTCTCCAAGACTTTAAAAGCAGAGCTCTGCTGCAAGGATGATGTTTCGGACTTGCTGCGCCTGAACGTTGTCAGAAGAATAATTTGGGGTTCCAACTCGAGCTAGGAATGTGCAAGAATAAATAAAAATGAGATCCGGACAGGTGTGAGGAAAGAAGAAATATTTATTCTTAAAAGCAAATAGGAATAAAGCAGCGGAGAGATTGGGATACAGCCACAGACCTTTAGGGCAGCTTGTCCTGGTGTGGAAGTGTCTATGTGGTGATTCTAGGGTGACACTTGAGGGGTGTGTGTGTGTGTGTCTGTTGTATAGGTATGTCTTATGATGCTTATTATGACGGTGCAATTCTGCTGGGAGACCTACTGTAATTAACTTTGTGTTTTTTACACTGCCTCCTTTCATATGTGGATTAACTCTGAGTAACTTATTGGGGGTTAAGGAAGTTTGAGTAAAAGATTTTGTTTTTTTACTTGATTAGTTTCAGCTTGACTGTCAATTATCTACTGCAGACCTTGATTCTCAGACCATTGTGGATTCTGTTAACTTTTTAAGGGAAAATGAAAACAATATAAAGAAAATAAATTTTGATATTTTTTAAAATATATTTTATGTACACTGAGAGCACTTGCACCGACAAATTCCATGTGTGTCCAATCACACTTGGTCAGTAAAGAATTCTATTCTATTCTATTCTATATAAAACTTGTCACAGCGTGTATAGCAGGCTTATGTAGCTCTCCTGGATTAAGCTATTTGGGGATTTTGACAATACCTTTTCTGCCCTGAAACTACCCTCTATGTTAAAAGTGGGGGTGCATTGCCTGTGGCTGATTTTCAACCATAGAAATTATTTTCCACTGAATATTTTCAAAAGCTAAAATAGTGCAATTTATTAAGGTAAGCCCCTCCTGTTATTGCAGGTGCACCTTAAATTTTAATATTGCCAGTATTTTATTATTATTGATTATGACATATTTTAAGTGATTTCAGGAGAAAAAATGGTAGTGGAATTACAAATTGGTAAGAGTGTGAGTGTGTACAATTAGGTTTAAGTGAAATGGTAATAAAAATACCGAAATTATACATGGATGGAGGTGGATTATATATTGTGGGTGAGTGTGCACATTTGCAATTGCATTTTTTAACAGAAAGTTATGTTGTCATCTTGGTTCCAGAGAAAATATGGTTCTTGTCTATAAAACCTGAAATGTTTTGTCTGAAATGTTAAGGGATTCCTGCTTGAACAAGGGGTTGAACCAGAAAATCTCCGTCCCTTCCAACTCAGTTATTCTGTTAATCCTGAGCCATATTCCATGTGTGCAGATCAACTTGTATTCATACTATGTTTCCCCAAAAATAAGACCTAGTGTTGTATGTATGTATGTATGTATGCATGTATATGTATATGTATATGTATATGTATATGTATATAGCTCCAAAAATGCATTAGAGCTTATTTTCGGTGAAACATGGTATCAGGGTGATCATCCTGGCGGGGCGCCGAAGAGTGTGCACAAGCACGCAATGGCCGACAGTATCTGGCAGCAGCCACAGCCTGCAGGCCCTTTGGCCAATCTTCTCAGGCTGCACAGCCTGTGCAGCACAGGTGAGTCCAAGCGCTGCTACCGCCGTGCTGGCTCTCAAAGCAGCAAGTGGAGGCAGAGGTGCAGGGTGGGAGGCACGCAATCTGGCCTGCTGGGTGCACCACGTGACAAGCAAAGAGAGACAGTGGGACAGAGTGGGCGGTCGGCTGTAGGTGGCTTGTCCTGTATGTGTGTCTGGAGGACAATGTTGAAGGACGATGTTGGATGGCAGGGACTGAGGGCGCAGGGACCATGTGTGCCACCCTTGCTCTGCCACATGCTTTCCCTGGTGGTAGTAGTGGCACCAACAGGCAGAGACACAGGGGGCCACCGAGTCCATGTCCAGCAGTCGCTGCAAATACATTTCAGGCGGCTTTGAACTCAACTGGCCACTGACAGGGAGGAACCTTCAGACAGAGCAGCCTGGAGCAATTTAATCCTTTTAATTTACAAGTAGAAAACTGGTTACTATTTTTCCTTCTTTCTTGGCCTTGCTTTTCTCTCCTTTTCCTTGTCATCTTTCTTCTTCTTACTCTCCTCCTTCTCCTGCCCCCCTTCTTCTCTGCATCTCTGTTGGCAATGTTGTTGATGCGGTTGTGCAGCGCTACCACCGAACGATCAGGCAAGGCAGGCAATGAGACGGGGGAGTCACCATGCCATGGGTCCTGCATGCTTGGCACTACCTGTATAAAAAAAAACATACAGGCTGCATAATATACACCCAGATCACCAAACCTGTAGCAAAGCCAAGTCTACAAAGCTGTACAAAAAGCCTGTAGGGTTGAGGCTAATCTAATATGGGGAATGGGGTGATGTTCAAAATAGCAATATACCATCAAGTTATAGGAACAGGCTGAAAGAGTGCTAGATATGTGTCAGCTTACCTAAGGGTGCATAGATGCAAAAGAAGAGGTTAAAGCAGCAAGCAAGCTGCTTCAACCTGTATGGTACTGCTGGAAGGAAATTAGAAAAGTGGCAGAAATGACCAAGGAGTTCAGTTTTGGTTTTGTGGTCAGCAGCATCAGGAAGTAGTCAGTGGACAGCAATTGAGGACATGCAATAATCACACACACACACACACACACACACCTTAGTTACAATAGTTCAGTGATCAAAGTTACAACAGAACTGAAAAAAACAACTTATATGCAGTTTTCCTATGGTCATGGCTGTTGTAGCTTTCCTATGGTCACATGACCAAATTTCAGATCCTTGGCAACTGACTCATATTTATGACAGTTGCCGTGTCCCAGGGTCTCTTGATCACCTTTTGCTATTTTTTGTCAAGCAAAGACAATGTGGAAGCCAGAGTCACTTAACCAACCATGTTACTAATTTAACAACTGCAGTGATTCACTTAAATGTGGCAAGAAATTTTGGGCTCAGTTATGATTGTATGTTGAAGACTATAATTATAATCATGTGTTGCCATGTCATCATATATCATATCATATTTCAATACATATATGAATAGGGAGGAGCCAAGGCATTAGCCCAGCCACACATGGTTTGACCTCCTGCTCTTTCAATCTCATGTTACAGCATATTTTACCTCTTTCTGTTTCTTTGTTTCTTCCTTTCCTTTCCTTTCCTTGTTTCTTTTTGGTTAATTCTTAGTATACTTTGTTATAATAGACTTATTAATTAGACTTATTAGATCTTTTTTAAATTTTATAACCAGGCAAGATGACTGGAAGTAGAAGGCACAGGGAAAAGATTCTGAATGAATTTGAATAACATGGGGAAAAGAGCATCATGGTATCAGTGCAGACTCCCTTTATTCCTCAAAGTCTGCTAAACAATCAAAGATAAAATATTTTATGTGAAAGGAATCTGTAAGTAAAACAATTTTCCCTTCCACTTTTAATAAATTTTCCTTGAATCACTTGAATAGGATCTTCAAACAGAATTGGAAAAACAACTATATTAACTATCTGTCAGAGAAGAGTTAAATTAGAACCTGAATTTTCTTACGATTTCTCACTGTGTGTCTCCAGTACGTGACAGTTCACCTGCTAATCTCAAGGGAAATAAAAATAAGCTTAAAATCAGAATACTGTGGAAAAATTAAATGAAACTTTTGGCAAAGTAATGCCTTCTTACAACGCAAACTGTGACCTTGTTATTTGAGTAATTGTCAACTGTAATCTGGAATTGCTGAAAAAAATCCAGAGCTGTCGCATCTACCTTCCATAATCATTCAAAACTTTGTCAGATGCCACCAACTTTGCTTCTGCCCCACACCTACCCTTAAAAAAGGTTAGGTTTTTTGGTGGGGGTTAGCCACTCTCACTAAATGAAGTTGTGTAAGACGGTCCCAACTAAAACTGGCCATATCAGTACTTTTGGTTTCCTGCCTAGCAATTAACATGATATTATACACTACCTGGAACACCTTACCTACATTTTACTGGTTAAAATTGCTACAGATGAGTCTTCAAACTTTGACACTAAACTCTTCCATGGCAATGGAGTGGCTGAATATCACAGTCCAAATAATACTTGTTCTGGCTCTTATGGGACAATTAGAGCCCTGCTGACAGGTCGGCGCTAATTAGAGGAAATACTGGAAGCAAAAACACTAGTGCTTAGACAACTTCACAGTGCTTTACCACCCTCTTAGAGTTTTACTGTCAGCATATTACCCCCAACAATCTGAGTCCTCATTTTACCAACCTTGGAAGGTGAGTCAACCTTGAGCCAGTAGCCAGCCGGTAGCCAGCAGTCAGCAGAAATATTCTCTATATTATCCCCCACAGGGTTCACAAATCATGGGGCCAGGGGAAGAGCTCCTGCAGAATCACCCATGCAGGTTAACTTAAGTCCATATGCCTTTGGAAATTCACACACCTACCTTTAAAGGCATTTCCATATCAGACCACAAGAAGACCTATGTGGAAACTTACTAACTTGTTCCTCAAAGATTACAACAAGCCCTGCTTAGTAGATCCCATGCAGAATTATCATTATTCACTCATCACACACATCACACAATGAATTAGACTGCCACAATGCAAATACCATGGATGGTGCCAACTAAGACACCAAAGTGTTGAATTCTCAGAAGCAACCACAGAATTTGCTTGAGGCAAGCCAGCCCTTGGCAGAGACCCTGCTCCCATCCTCTGCTTCACCATCCCAACATTATAATATCATAACAATGGCTTGCCAACATCAGCTTATATGACTCTTACTGGATGCTTAGGCAATCTCCCTGTTGCACTTTGAAGTGTGCATGAGTATGTACACTACACTCATAGTGCTGCCAAAGTTGGAATGATGCAGGCTAGGTCCCCAAACTCTTCAGCCATCGAGCCTTCATGAAGTTTCAGATTGTTCATCAACCTCTAAATGTTTTGATCTATTGGTTAAGGCACAGGATAGAAAGTAGGAGACATTGAGTTCATGTCCCACTTTAGCCATTAAAGCCAGCTAGGCGCTTTAGGTGAGTCACTCTCTCAGCCCAATTCACCACATAGGATGGTTGTTGTGGGAAAAATAGGAAAAGGAAGATGTGTTGGATATGTTCCACCACCTTGGGTTGTTGGCCTTATTAACTAGTAAAGGCATTAACTAGTAAAATATTTTCAAATGGATAAGGTATTCGAATACATTATGATATAATTTAAGAAACTAATATAAAGTTATATCTAAGACTTGGTTCTCACTTTTTGGAAATATAAGAACTGTTTCTAAAAACCATCTTAGTTTTTTGTGAAAATACATACATTCCTCAGTAGGAAGGAAAGGCTATGGCACCGGTGCAGATAAAGATATAGTATCTGTATTTAAACCTCCCACACCTTATAAACATTGGTAGTCACCGTTTTTAAAATGCATCTTGTCATCAAGAGTTTTATATTATTTTAAATAACTAAATGAACAGAAGTGAGTGTATTTGTAACTCTGAATTGATGGTTGATGCAATTGAAACAATTAGATACTGTGCTAGAAAAATATTCAATGCATTTTAAATTTATTCTAGTTAATTTGTTTAGATTAATATAGTGCAATAGTGTAAATTGTTGAATTTCAAGCTCTAAATTGTTTCTTGCTATTTTTTAACAATGAAAACTGCAATTATAATGGCAGGAATAGAAAACATTTGTTAGTTTTCAGTTTTAATCATACCTGATTATTAAGCATTTTATATGAGCCTAGGTTCTAGAGAACCACAGTATCTACCTAATACTCTGTCCTCAGCCTTTTCATGTATGGATATTTAAATATACATACTTTGAGCTTTTTAAAATTATATTGCCAGAAAACTGGCCATATTTACTAGAGTGTACTCAAAGTTAATAATTTTCTTAGCACTTGTATTCAAGATAATTTTTTTCAAAGTGAGCCCATGTAATCAAGCATGTAAGAGAATTTTAGTTACAATCATCAGATAAAATTTGAACTGTCTCCTTTCTTCATAAGCCATAAGAATGATAGATCCTACCAAACCTGATGAAAATGAGCACTCTTACATTTCTTTTCAACAAACTGGCTATAATTCCTTGCTTTTTCTGGTTTCCTCTTAGCAATAACTATGAACTTAAAATGGTTTCCTAGGAACTTGTATGGAAACAGATACTCTTCTAGATCACCAGCTGTATATCTATAGAAAGTCTGAATTTTCTTGCAAATCCAAACGTAAGAAAAACATATGGAGCCATTTTAAAGATAAGAGGAATTGCTGAATAATATATTGCTAACTTTTACATGGACACGATTTGGTTTATCACATCCAATTGTCTCCTTTCTGGCTGAAAGAAAAATAAGGAAACATTTTGTTTTTCCTTTAAGCAGTGACAAGATGGTAGAAATTAGCATCTTGCAACCTTCTACATCACCTTCTAGAATCTAGAATCTTTTACAATGTAGTCTACATAAAAACATTTGGATTCAATATAACAGAGTAAGAAGTTAATTTCTTGTGCTGTATTTTATCTAAACACATTTTGCTAAACATAACACCAAGGTTATAAGCCTTCATGGTTATGGCAAATGCTTTTTGACCTGAAATTTTCTTTTGCTACTGAATACATCTATTTAGGAACTTTAGGCCTGATGTTTTATTAGCAGAGTTATCTTCCTAAACCCAATTTCCAAAGTTTGAAGACTGTACTAGATTTTATGCTACATTATACACGGGACTAGATATGCTAAGCCCAGGCAGTGCAATTTACATATTTGGTTTTCTTCCCACTTTCATCATGAGTGAAAAAAAGATAAAACAAAATCATAATCCAGACAAGGCATAAGAGTGGCAAAGCAATGTTTTGTTTCATCTTTTTGTTCCATATTTGTTTTTGTTGTATATACAAAAAAAACCTGGCAAGAAATAGGGGCAGATTCAATATTTCAAAAGATCAATTTATATTCCTTAGAAATGTTAAAATATTTAAAAACATGAAAAACTACACTGAAAAAGTAATGATTTTAAATGAATGTGGTTTGCTTTTGTCTCACATTTATACAAGTCATAAATATTTCAAATTAAACTGTCTTAACCATTGGAAATGCATTTTCCTCTTTGATTCACTGCACCTGATCTAGAAATGCCCATCTTTGATTCATACTGAAAGCGAAGCTTATTAAGCTAAGGAAAATACTCTGCTACATACTCTTTTGCATGGTAGAAGTTGCACATTTTAACACATCTATTTACCATATGCATAGCTAATTTAGAGGGGTATGTTCATTGGACTGCTGAAGCTTATCTCAGAAGCAATGTAAGCTATATAAACTTTAGAAGTCTTAGGCTGTAAGGTCCTTAGTAACATTAGGAATCGTAACACTGTACATCATAACATCTTACATCATTATCTGTAGGAGACATTTTTCCACTGAGGCCCTCTAAGAGTTTTAATTTCTATTCTAACTTTGATACCAAACCAGAGACACAAAACTGAATGTCATTACAATTAAGGCATTTTAACTCAAGCAATATGATCACACATCTGTGGACAAATTTAATATTGAGAAAAACAAAGCCAATCTTAATTTAGAATAAAAGACACAGAGTCTAATATATTAAGCACACATATTTACTTAATCTACACAGAACGGAGTAGATTTCAGTTTCACGTTAGTGAAAAATTTCTACAAAATGTTCCTGAAAAGCAAAAACCAAGAGTGCCTATTTAGTCAGCATTTTTCATGGGTATGGGTTGCAATAATAAAGCAGCGTTCAGCACAAGCTAAAGTTCTGCATCACTTTTCACAGTTATTTCCATCTATGGTCTGAAGAGGTAGATTTTCTGTAACACCTGAGAATTGAACTGCAACAAAACCAGGTGTAAGAATAGAATGGAATAGATACAGCCCTAAAATGTGCATGTATATACTTATATTCCAAATAATTCTACGGCTTAGCTATTTACTGAGTATCTGAAGCCAAATTACACAACAGTAAAAATTGTGCACCCCTCTATACTGAACACACTGGATGCAAATCAACTGCAGGTATAAAGTAGTGGATGGTATAAGCAATAGCTTTCAGTGTTTATAAGCACATGATTATCAATTTACACATGGCTAGCTGCCTATAATAAGCATGAGCTGTACAACTAAAGTACATTGAACAAATCAGCAGAAAAATGGCAGTGCAGTTTACCACTTTATGGCAAGAGACAAGTAATAAGCTTGTCCTGTACTAGCCCTCTATTGTTCAATGCATGGAATGTCTTGAGACTTTAAACAAAACCCTAATTTAGACTGAAGAAAAAGTTGAAGAAAAAAATGCATGAGCAAGTTTTCTTTTTGAAAAGCTGTCATTATTTCAATAGCTTCATTTTATGCATCTATAATTGCAACTGGTTAAAAAAAACCTACTTTTGTCTATAATTAGGTCAATTGTAGACATAGGTAAAACTAATCAATATATAGTACCTATGAGGGAATATCTTTGCAGTTTTTACTTTCAACGTGCATTTGTTCCACTAGCCAATTTCTCAGCTGTTTTGCACTGTTCTACAAGCTCAAAGTGTTTGCACTTCTAGCTGTAGATTTGTTTGATGAAAGATTCTCTAGTCTCTCTTATGCTTATGACAACGTACTTGGGCTTTGTATTTTCCACTATATGTCAACTACTTACCTTACAGAATTTGGAATTCATACAAAAGAAAATGCAAACACATTTTAAGAAACAAAATACAAGCGGCCAGTTTCCAATTCAGGACTTTCCAAGTCTACTATTAATGTCAATTGTTTTTGCTTAAAAGTATAAATATCCCAAAAGTGTTCTTCAATCTTTCTTTCAATTAGGATATTGTATATTGTAATAGGTAAAAAGGCTAATACATCAGTAAAGCTCAAATTCAAATAATTTGCAACTAAACTGTAAGAAGAGTACACAAGCAGATAAAGAGAGAATTTATCAATAATGTGCTTAAATAAGAAAAGCTTCAAGAAAGTGAATCTAAACTAGGTACCAGAATTCAGTATTTTTTACATTTCTCCAAATAGAACTAGAAAGCTGATACATGTAGGCAGAGTTAACAGCAGCTTGTAACCTAGCAGCACTCTTTTGGTCCCTCTTTTCTTTAAAAAAAAATCAGATCATGGGAGATACATAAACTTTTGCAACTGACCTACATTCATAATTCTAACCATAGTACAAAAAGTGGAGTCTTGTATGCTGTGCATTTATTAGCAACATAAATACTGAAGTGCCAATTCCAGGTAACTTAGATATCAGAAGGCACTTCCATTTATGTATATGTTTGTCTAGTAAAATTTTTCATTTTACAAAAGTAATGTTTGAGACCAGAATGTTTTCCTGTATTTTGGATTAGATAAATTATATAATTTATACACTTTATCATGGACAGACCAGTTTTTATAAGAATGTGTATCCTGTGAAATATACACTTTAGGATTTCCCGTACTGAGTGTGGTTCACTGCATTCTTAAGTGATGATGCATTTATATATGTTCACTATTTCACACTAATAAGTAGGATCAAATCAAAAGAATTCCCAGAAAACCCTGCCTCCATAGATTATATATTTTGATCTAGCAACCACTAACTAAAATCTTGTTGCATTTAATAAGCTGCAACGATGACAGTAGTTTTTATATTACAGCTCATTTTTAAAAAAAACATTGCGACAAAAGTAGTGCATTCAAAATACATCCAGATTTAAGTTAGTGGCTATTTAGACAAATTATCCAGAGTTTGTTTTCTGCCTTAATTCCTTCAATATAACAGAAATGACAACAGTTATTTAATTTATACTGACTATCAGACAATCCTGAGAAATATGAATTGTACACCCTGTTTTTCCAGTTGCAAAGTTAAAGCATAGTTGTAGGCAAGTTAGCAGCTACACTAAACCCTGTAAGATTTTTCTTATCAGTATGGCCAGTCACACACCAAATTGTATTTTACTGGACTGCTTGGTAATCTCACCTCATCTTTAAATTTTAATTTACTACACAGATTTAAGTTCAATCAAACACTGATCAAAGTTGTTCCCTTAACATGATGACAAAATTATGTGGGTCTTAGATGATACAGTAATGCATTACTGGATAAGAAGAAAACACTGCATGCATCCTTAGTGGGGTTCTTTTGTAAAAAAAAAATGCAAATGTGCAATACAGTTGTGGATTCTTTTTATAGATAAGCTATTCAAAGCTGCTATGCAGCTTCCTGTACCAGGCAAATTCTGTTCTGTTTTAAGAAAATACAGATATGGTAGAAAAAGTAAGAAAATTTTCACCACAAAACTAATAGTTACCACCACCAGTTAAAGTTATACACAAAATATATCTCTTAATACAGTGTTTATATTTTAATCAACAAAATCTGTGGTAGGAATGGAAACCAAATTGACAGTCTTTTCAGAGCCTTTGTTTGCCACTCTTGTTTCGATATCTGGTTGGATTCCTTCTTGTTCTTTATTAATAGAAATTTCCAGCTTCTCATGAGAGTTGAGCATGCATGATTGCAATATAGGTATAGCTAGATCCACATCTGCTTCTCTTGAAGAAACCTGTTCTTTAAGAATTTCCACCTTCTCGTTTAACTCATTTCTTTCTGTTTGAAGAGCTCTACATAGCTTTTCCAAACGCTCCAGTTTTATTTGGAAACCTTTGTATTCTTTGTCTTTAATTGTCTTCTGTAATAAACAAGATAACATAGAGGATTCAGATTAATCTTACACAATATATTTCAAAACTGTTAAAACAGCCAATGACAAAACTACAAAAAATTTTCATGGTCACTCTTTTACTGACCAGTTACGGCTTCAGAATCTGTAATGTGAGGGGACCACAATTCCAATTCTCTTTTCTTGGTGTATTAAGTTCTATTTTCCCATGTAAAGGTCTCCTTCTCTAATCTGAAGAGCCTATTGCAACCCTCACTCACTAGATGGTTTAAATAAAAGTGATATACAACTTATTTTGTACAAACAAAAACACTTTGCATTTTTCTGATTATTGAAAACATTCAGATACAAACAAAATACATTTTTATTATGAAGATGGTGACATCTTTTTATGGAACATAGCATTAGCAAAATTTCAGTTTAAAATATAACCAAACCCTGTAAATTATATTATATTCTTTGAAATACTGTTTGATAATTCAGTAACTTTTGAGTTTCATCTAGTCTAGTTCAGACTATAAAATAAGAATGTAAAAGTAGCAATTTTTAAGAATGGAATCTTATACTCACTTCTTCAGCCATTTGCAAGAGAGCCTTGTTGTTGTTTTCCCATTTTGTACGCCACACGACTATTTCTTTTTCCAGTTTTTTTATTTTTTTGGTCATCTGAAATTAATTACACTGATTTTTAGCAAGTTGCTGGCAATGAACATTTTAATCTACTGTTTCTCAGATTGCCCAGTCTTTTGAGATTAAATCTCATTTTTATTTTAAAAAGATTTAATTGCATTTCTTTCACAAGATTCAAAACACATAATCATTTTACAAATAAAAATAAATGGTCTGAGAACCCAGATAATGTATAGCAAATGTTAAGACAATTGTGTGACAAAATCAGTACCATGGTTCAAAAAATTAACTCAAGATTGAGATAATTGGGTGAATGAATGCAAGTTGAACATAAATGGCAAAAAACAGAACAAGTAGATGAATTTGTATCGTTTGATTTTTTTTTTTTACTAAAGATAGGAAAGAAAATAAGATGTTCAATTTACATAGATAGTAGAATGTTATCTGTTGCAAGAAATGAATATTTATCGAAATAATTAAAAATAGCTGTGATGACTCCCCAGATGCTTCTCCTGATGTCAGTTCAGAGGAAGGTAAAGCAGTTCCAGCATTTCTGGAGGGGAGTTGGTTAATGGCTCCAAGCAGCCACTTGACAGGGATTTGGCTCAAGCATAGCTGCAGCAGGACAGTCCTGAGGCTTCAGGTGCAGTAAACATGCAGCTGCAGCTGATCAGCGATGAGGAAGAAGAACTGCCTTCTACACCCTCATCCAAGAACACATAGGGCACAGGAAAGGCAGGAGTAAAGAAGGGCAGCCTGATTACTCATGAGGAGAAAGCCTTGACCTTTTTGATGGGCTGGACCAGAAGCTGGCTATTAAGCACAGCACATTGATAGAAGCGATGCTGGGAACAACATGTACATTTCTGGCTGTGTGTTTTCTGGTCATGTGATTCTTGCCTTGCTAGGGATTGACACCGTGACTTGAATTGTGCCTTGTGAACCCTCTTGTATTGTGGATTTAATTTTGCCTTGTGGGTTTACTTTGAGATTGGGAAACTTTCAAGTACCTTGTGGACTCACTGGCCACTGCTCTGTGAACTAGCATTGGTCTGCTTGTGGCTGGATTTAATTGGGACAGTTCTGGTTTTCTGGTGAAGAGAGTTGCAGGGGAATATTAATAAACCCACTAAACCAGTTATGTGTGTGTGATTGGGACATCACAATAATTTGATATTGTACCGTATTGAAGATTATGCTTCTGTATGGGCTCTATGGAACTGAGACGTAAAAGGCTCTATGTCAGGAGAGACATAAAAATAATGCATGGGAACTAGGTACTTCAATAAGTGTGATAAAACAAGAAGTGATGAGAGTCTTAAATGAATGGGTGCTGAATGAATGTGAATATGTATTTAATAGAAAAGTGAATGCCCATCATTTTTAGGGAAAATGCAGGAGACTGAACAGGAATGAAATGTATAAAGTTAAAATGCGTGGATTGAGAAAAGGAATGAAAAAAGGAGTGATGGAATGGATCTTAAAAACATGTGAGATGCTTAAAAAACTCAAGGCGATGCATGAAGCACTGTTTGGATAAGGTGGAAGCAAACACAATTTCCAAGGAGAGAAGATTAGATATAACTGCTATCCCCTGAAGTAAATTCCACTGAGGTTTATTTATCAATTAATACATAGACAAATCAGAAACATTACACATTTTTCTTACGGCAAATAGATAAGAAAATAAAATACCTTTTCCATTTCTTGTCTGAAAGTTGTGAAAAGTTCATTACTTTTTGCCATAGTTGTCTGGAATTCCTCAAATTTATCCATGTAAAGAGAAAGCTAAAAGTAACAATGTTTAAATCTAATTTAGAAACATAATTTAGAATTATTTACATAATAATTACACTAGTTATTCATTACATATAATGTCATGTACAAAATAGCAAAAAAATAAAAATAAAATAAAAGCTGATTTTGTCTTATGTGAAGACTTACATTGTCTAGATCTGTGATGGCAAACCTGTGGCACACAGCCATTTGTGTGTGCATGCGAGCCCCAGCCAAATTTACCTGCACTGTGCATTCATGTGCCTCCCAGCTGATTTTCGGCCCGTTTGAGGCCATTTTCACCCTCCTGAAGGCTTGAGGGAAGCTTCTGCAGCCTCGGGAGGCTGAAAAATGGCCCTTCCGGAAATACCGGAAGTGCCGAAACAGGCCCGTTTTCGGCCTCCCAAAGATGAGGAGTTTTTCCTCGAGCCTCTGGGAGGGCAAAAATGGCCTCCCCCAGGGCCAGAGGTCCTCCAGAGGCTGAAAACAGGCACTTCTGGAATTTCTGGAAGGCCCATTTTTCAGCCTCCCGAGGCTGCAGAAGCTTCCCTCAAGCCTTCAGGAGGGCGAAAATGGCTTCAAATGGGCTGAAAATCAGCTGGGAGGCATGCACATGCGCAGTGCAGGTAAAGGGGTGGGGTGGGGGTGTTGCGGGTGCATGCGCAGGGGGCGGGGCGCATTGCATTCTGAGTGCCAGCACGCGCACATGCTATCATGCCCTTTCAGCACACCATAACAAAAAGGTTCACCATCTCTGGTCTAGATTGATTTAGAGACCCAGTTAGCTTTCAAAAGATAAAAGCTGAGGTACCAGTTTCTATAAGATTACGTCAAAATAACAACACTTAAAACACTGTTATTATGAAACAAATTTCCACCCATATGCACTTTCATTCCAATTCAAATGCATGCTATCGCAATGTTATACTATAACCATTAAAAATGACTACTGTATTGAGATAAACGAATTAAAATGGATTTAAATAGTATAGAATTTATAGCTCTAGTTTATATTATAATGAGAACTTAAAATACAAATTTTAACTTCGTAAAAACTTGTATATATCATCTTAAACACATCCTCTTATCTGCACTGATTAATATTTTTACTTTATTTTTTTATTTTCCCCAAAATAATTTGAATATTGGTTGTACAATAAATTTATAACAAAATAACAAAACACAAGTATAGGAAAGTTTTGTACAACTAGTGTCTTGCTTTTTGGGCAGTTTCTTTATATTGACTATATATTTACTTTAGGATAAATACTGTAGGGGGTGTTGGTTAGAATAAGGGAACAAAGAAATAAAGGAACGAGAGAACTAAGTGTTAATAAAAGAAATGAAAACATGAATAATTTTGTAGGGGCGTTTAGACTTTAGCTAAACAATAAAAGAATAAAGATTAATCCTGTGGACTTTCAAGGAAGGTTTAAAATGTGTTCTTATAAATGGGTTTATCACATTTTTAGAAATTAATCTGATATAGTATTTAAGCAAAAAGAATACTACATAGCAGCATGAATAAAATAGAGTAACCTTGTGAAAAAAATTGCTCTGTCATATCAAGACAAATTGGCATACATTTGAAAGGCATTACGATATAATTGTACATTTTGTATATAAGTTGTGTATTTATGCTCATTATAATAAAGTTCTTTTCAATCTGCACTGTCTATGAAATCAGCCAGGAAATATACATATTTTAAATGGCTTGCAACAACTTGAATTACCTTGGAGGTACGATTACCTATATAGATTTCAAGGTTACAGAAGCAATTTCCAGTTAATGTAGCTTCAAAGTATAGCAACAGTGGGTGACTACTATCTGGTGACTGACACTGAGGTTTAATTATTTGGGAAAGAATTGCCTAATTATTGTATTCCTTTCCCAAAGAATTGTTTTAGACTTTCAATATGATTTAATAATTTCAATTTTTAAGAAACTTCTCCGATTTCATTTAACAGATTAATAGCTAAGCTACTAATCACAATTTAAATTGGTTACCTGCTGTTTTAATTGGGCTTCTTGCTGCTTCATCTGTTCACATTTGTGTCTAGATTCGGTAGCTTCTTTTAACAGCTGAGGACAAAGAAAATATTTTCTGTCTAGAATACTTTAATATCAGGAAAGATTATACTTTTGATATTCACACACTTATGTAGCTTGGAAAATGCAATAGGGCCAACAGGCATAGAGCTGCATACATGAACCATATTATACACTGTATTATTAAAGTTATCTTGTAACAATGTGCTGCATACAATTTAAGAACCCATTAATCTACATACTGACAATACAATAAAAAACCAAACATATTTTTAGCTTGTTCTAATAATAATAAAAAGTCTAAATGATATTGTAACAACTTACTAAATAATTCTTTCATCTTAAACTTTCTTAAAAACACTTACAAAATCTTTCTCCCTCTGATGTTTTTCTTCAGCTTCTTTTATAAGTTGTGTAGTCTGCTGAAGCTTGGCATCCACCAGTTGTTGTTGAAGTTCTTTATGCTTGAAGACTTTATCCATATGCTAGAGAAAAGCATAACTGCAATCAAACTAAAACCAAAAATTTAATGTCGAGTAAATGTTTCATAAGCTGGTTTTCTTTTGTGTGCCCTCTCCTTCAATCATGGTGTCTTCTTGAATTAACTAACATGATCTTCATTATTTATAATGAACCATGCTCAACTGGAAAACATATAAGAAGTGATTTGGATGTTGCACCAGACTTTGGAAGGCATAAGCTAACATCAATAAGCATGGATGCTGAATGGATAATGTTAGGCCAATTCTTCACCTAAACGATCTCTGTAGATTAAGTTTATTCCCCAAACTTGTTCCTTAACATTGGGGAGATATTCTTTGAGGTTTTATTGTGAGTATTATAGCATAATGAAATATTATTAGAATGGTTTACTTACTTCTTCTCGAAGTGCATACTGTTCCACAAGTTTCTTCAGTTTTTCCCCTAGTTCAATATTTTCTTGGCGGAGTTTTGCATTGTGTACACCATGCTGTTCTAGCTGTGCCTGAATTTCATTTAACGTAATCTGGAAATGTACTGTTGCTTCTTTACGTCTTTCTTCCTCTTCACGGGCTTGTTGCATATTTTCTTCCTTTTGCCCAGAGATTAAAATCCACTTATAAACATGTTTTTTTAGTTAGATTTTGGCTAACAGCAAAAAAAAAAAAAAATGCAACCCAGCTTCACCTTAACATATCAAAATGTTACAATTATACTGATTTTCAAATTCTTTTATCACCTCATCTGACAAATATGTATGAAGACTGATTTGTTTTAGAACCAATACATTAAAAGTTCTGATTGCAACTGGGGCATCATTTTTATAAGGCTTCCAAATTATAAATATGGTAATAGTGGACTTGAACTTGGAAAAGAAAGCTGCTTATAAATAACTTCATTTCAAATTAGAATTGCTTCTGGTGAAAGTCAGCAGAGAAACTAGTAGGTGACCATGTCTTTCAGAGCTGGTTGTTGCTATGCAATGAAGGACCAACTGTTTCTAACATGAAGTCAATTTGTTGAACCTTGTGCCCTACACACAAGACATGTTCCTGATGTGAACCAAACACAAAAAATCTAGTCGAATTAGCTGTTTTAAGTCCACATAATCGTACAGTATCACTTTTACAATATCACACAGGCCGAGTACTCTTGATAATATCTTCATAAACAATTTAAAGGAAGTAATTGTAGGGCAGGGGTGGGATTTAATTTTTTTTACTACCGGTTTTGTGGGCATGGCAGGGGAAAGATACTGTAAAATCTCCAGTCAGAGGTGGTATTTGCAGATTCTCCAAATTACTCAAAATTTCCACTACTGGTTCTCCGGAACTGGTCAGAACCTGCTGAATACCACCTCTGTTGTAGGGGATGCATAAAATTTGCAGATGACACCAAGCTGGCAGGAATAGCCAATACACCTAGAAAGATAGATTCACGATCAACAAGGATTTTGACAAACTCAAACACTGAATCCTATCTAACAAAATTAAATTCAATGGTGAGAAAAATAAGGTTTTACACTTAGGCAAGAAAAAACAAATGCACAGGTATAGGTCACTGACAGCTAATCTTTCCGTCCCTGCGTGCCAAAAGTGTGTGTGCGCATGCGTGCCAGCACCCATAAGGCAATGCATGCGGGGCCCTGCATGGCCCCTGTGCATGCATGCATGACCCCCATGCGCAATGCACATTTCTACACATGCTTGTGCAACCCCCATTTGCAATGCGCGTCTCTGCACCTGCCGCACTTCTCCTGCTGCCTCCACCCCCTGCACATGCACGGCAGCTACCCGATGATCAGCTGGCAGGAGGGTGGCACGCGCGCCTTCACAGTGGACCTGCTCTGGGGTGACGGCTTGCGTGCTGGCAGAGATGGCTCTGCGTGCCACTTCCGGCGTTAGCCATCACAGGAATAGGTGGTATCTTGCTCAACAGCAGTCACTGTGAGAAGGACCTAGTAGTTCTGGACAACCATTTAAATGTGAGCCAACAGTGTGCTGCAGCTGCCAAAAAAGCCAATGCAGTCGTAGGCTATATTAACCAAGGGGTACAATCAAGATCACATAAAGCTTAATTATACTTTATAATGCTTAGGAAAGATGTTGAGACTCTAGAAAGAGTGCCAAGAACAGCAACAAAGATGATGAAGTGGCTGGAAGCTAAAACATAGGAAGAATGATTGCAGTAGTTGGGTGTTGTCTAGTTTAGTGAAAAGGACAACTGGGATGACATGATAGCAATGTTTCAAAATGAGGGGCTGACACAAAGAACATGGGGTCAACCTAGTCTCCAAAGAATCTGAAGGCAGGACAAGAAACAACAAATGAAAACTATGAAGGAGAGAAGAAACCTAGAACCAAGGAGAAACTTCCTGACAGTGAGAGCAATTAAACATTGGAGCAGTTTGCCTCCAGAAGCTGTAGGGGCTTCATCGCTGGAGATTTTAAAGAAGGGATTGGACAGCCATTTGTCTGAAAATATAGTCTCCTGCTTGGCTGGGGTGGGGATTAGATTGGAGAACCTTGTGTGTCCCTTCTAACTCTTATTATTCTGTTTTATTATTATTTCTGTGATCTTGTGTATCCATCTCATCAAGCCCAAAGAAAGTCTGGAATAGTATAAGATCTCTTACCATTGGTAGGGGTTGGACAAGAAGACCATCTAGGTCCAATCCAACACTATTATTCTATGTTTTATTCTATGTTCTAATTATTAGGTAATGGAAGATCTAAATCAGATTATTTCAGCAACAGTGAAATAGAATCTATTAGAAAGTTAAATTTCCATAGAAAATAAGAACAGAACATTAGTTTCATTGAAATTAAAAGCAATAATACTATGAAGAATCCTCTGATACTACCCATGTTTCCCCCCAAAATAAGACCGTCTTATATTTTTCGCCACAAAAAAGGCACCAGTCTTATTTTCAGGGATGTCATCCACTGACTAACCTCATTGCATGCATCGCCCCAGCCTCCTTTTTGCTGTCCGAGGCCTTTAGGAACTTCTTCTGTGGCCAGCAAGTCTTTCCAGATCGATCCGGAGCTTTGTTATCAGCTACAGAGGCCTTCAAGAAAGTTTTGCTAGCCTTGCTGGCTGCAAAAGAAATGGGCTGGCAAGGCAGGTGTCGGGGTGTGCGAGTCCTGGCTACAGCTGTCCAAAGGTAAGTAGTAAGTCAGCTCCACCCCCCCATTCCCACCCAGCTTAATTTTTACCTGTGCACTCTGGAGTGGGCAGGATCTTAATTGCGCTTATTTTGGGTGTTAGGGCTTATATTGAACACATGTGTAAAAATCAAGCTAGGATTTACTTTCAGGGTAGGTCATATTTTCAGGGAAACAGGGTATGGCATGGCTAGTTTAGAGTGGTATATTGTATTACAGTTTTAAAACTTTTCAAAAGTTCACAGTTTAAAAGTTGTTTTTTAAGAGATTTTTAAAGCATCATTTATTTAACTGTACATGTTTACAAATTTCCATTTATTTAACTATACTTTAAAAATTGTGCTTTTTAAAGACTTCCTCACTTCAGAATACTTTTTAACCAAGAGAAGCAAATAAAGCAATTTGATGAACATAATTAAGGTGATTTATAAATCAGTGATGTCTGCATGAATCATATATGGAACAAGACATGGCCTAATGTTACAAACCAAGAATGATTTTAATGAGATATAATTTGGGGAAAGATCAGTGAAAGAAATGAAACTCCAAGAAAAGTACTAGAGTAAGAGGGAAAGAACCAACTTCTCTAAGTGGTGGTTTACTATTAAACATTTATAATAACTAGGGGAAAAAAAGAACAAAGGTACCTCAATATTCATTTTTAAAATGTGAACTGAAGATGAAATATTTATTCATAGGAATTAAAAATATGGATATAATGCTTTTTATAATTGCCTCATGATAGATTAAATCAAATATTCAAATAACAAGATCATGGTATCCCAATTCCTAAAGTGACAATTTGCTAGTAAATAGAGGAAAACAGGATCAAGAAAGAATGGGCAACTTGGAATAGGCAGCTCTACATCATTACCACTCTGAAAAGACACCTGACTAAAGTATATCCCAAACAAAAAATAACAAACCTATCTAGGATGGTCATCCTCTTCACTTAGTCCCATTTTGTTACAACTCCAAAATATTACATAGCCAGGCTTTTTCTTTTTTGAAGAGAACTATTTATTTCAGTTTTACTGATGTATTACTGCAGAAAACTAACCTTGAGAGTCTTATTATGCCGTTGTAATTCTCGACACAGAGATTCCAGTTTGCTACGTGCAAGAATTGCTTTGCTATGTTCACTTTGCAGGTGCACTTTCTCTTTTACAACCTGTGCTTGTTTCTTTTGCAGCATCTTCATTTGTCTCTGAACATTTCGGCTCTCCTCTAGCTAAATGAAAAAAAAAGAGAAAATACATATTTGAATTCAGTTTAAAGAGAATATTTAACTTCTAGAATTCCAATTTGAGACCTAACATGTGCATTTGAAATTGTTAGTTTTCTAACTGGCAGTTTATCTATCCTTAGTCTGTAACCTAACCCTCAGGATGAAGCAAAAATCAATTCATTCCATTAATTGAGCTCTTAATACACATATCTTTATTATGGTAACATTGGCATCTTTTGCTATTCTCCCAAATAATAAACTTTAATTACAGTTTTAAAATGTCCCTTTTGTATGTCAAGTATATATTTAAAATATTTAAAGGATCTTCTGCTAGGATACCAAAGAAAAAGATCTGCTATGCATGCACATATATGTATAACAATAACAAAACAATGGCACTGAGTTACTGGTTCAAGCAAAGACACTCCTTTATGCCAATACACTTTGTGAAGATACCTGTGCAGAAAGTAGCACATTTGTTAGAGGTTAGTTCGCTTTTTAAATTATGAAGATATTAAATAACTTCAGCTCCATGCTTTGCCAATCCTAGGCCAGACAATGATTGTTCTGTCATTCAGATACCAGGATCTCTTTCATCAGCTTCTACAGTTGACTTTTATCAGAGTCAAAAAATCTTACTCACATAACATGGTGTGGTGAAAACTAGGTTACACTCTCTGTTCAGAGCTCGAAGTTTCTATTAATCTGTTAGTCCTAAAGGTGCTTTTTCAAAAGGCAACTAGACTTTCCTCCCCAAAAAAAGTTGCCTTTTGAAAAAGCACCTCTGGGATGGATAAGGATATGCAAACAGAAATTAAATCCAGACAAGATATAGGTGCTACTGGTAAGTAGGAAAGTAGATTCAGAGACTAAAATGCAACTTGTGTTGAATGGGACTATATTTGTCCTAGAAAGTTAAGTAATGTTCCTTGATATTCAGCTGCCAGTAGTGAGAAGCAGCTTCCCCCACCCCACCCCCAATTAAGGCTAACGTGTCAGCTGCCAATCTTGTTTTGACGAGTGCAGTAAGTTGTCAAAGAAGCTAAAAAATGTCTGGAAGTTGCAACTGGGGCAAAATGCAACTGGGGCAGTTATCTGCTAATGGGGCTAAATACTAAGTTCACATGTTACATGTATTGAAAGTTGCACTGGTTAATGATTGATAATTGGACACCATTGAAGATGTTGCTATGGCCCTTTAAAACCATAAGTATCTGAGGGTCTGACAAGCTGGGGGGGGGCTACCCTTCCTTGTTCCAATATTTGAGGGGCTGCCACAAAGAAGAGGGGGCCAACCTATTTACCAAAGCACCAGAAGGCAAGACAAGAAACAATGGATGAAAACTAATCAAGGAAGAAGTAACCTATAACTAAGGAGAAATTTTCTAACAATGAGAACAATTAATGAGTGTAACAGCTTGACTTCATAAGTTGTGGCTGCTCCATCACTGGAGGCTTTAAGAAGATACTAACAGCCATTTGTCTGGAATGGTATAGGGTCTCCTTCCTTGAGCGGGGTTGGACTAGAAGACCTCCAAGGTCCCTTCCAATTCAGTTATTCTGACTTCTGGCCTTTTAGATTAGAGTATGATCTAATCTATTTTAGATTATATAAAGAACTAGAGCATATCATTTTTCAAAAGACCAGGATAGGCAAAATAATTTCTTGATCATTAAAGGAAGACACTGGGTCCTAAAGATATATGATATGCTATCTGATGCATTACATTAGCCATTAAATACTTGGTGATTGCTTTTAGTTTGTTATTTTTTCCTTCCAGATGACTAATTTTGCATTATTTTTAATATTAAATGCTCTAAGTAATCAAGATGTACTAGACAAATTCCAGGAAATCTGTCTGTTAGGTATATTCTAGACAAATTTAATTTGCAGTTGCTTATATAAAGTCAAGCTTCCACTCAGTTATGTGGAGTTATGGTATAGGATAATATGACAGTGGTTTACTAATGCTTCTTTGATTTCCCAGCTTATTCTATTCTATGAGTCTATTCTATGGGCTTTCCTGGCGTTATCCCATTAAAATATTAGCTAGATTTAATCCTGCTTAGTTTGTTCAGCTTCAGTCAAGGTCAATTATGCTATCCATGTTTATAATATTAAATCTAAAATATATTACCAGATCAGCATATTTCTTGCAGAGTGCTGCTAGTTTTTCTTCTGGAGTAGCAAGTGTGTTTAAAGCTTGCATAAGTAACAATACTTCTTTTCCTATGGGCCAAGAAAATATCATAGCAGCATGGTTAGAATATTGACAATAAAAAAATGTAAAATATGAGGAAATTTCAGCCAAAGCAACATTTTCCTAGAAGACAATGTGAGAATGGGCATCAACAACTTCTGAATAATTACAGTATAAACACATTGGGTGCAAGTACTGGTTTCCATATAAAAAACCCATTTTACCTACAAGAGTTAGGAATGTAGAGAGGCAGCTAGCAAAGCACTATATATTTAACTATCAAAACTGAATTTAATAAGGTTCAATAAAATATTTGAGTTTTAAGACATATAGCTATTAAGAGCATGAGAGTTTAAAATATGTAATAAAGACAATATGTTCAACCTTAAAAATCTATGTTTCAATGGCAATAAGTACCTAAAGTTTTTTCTTTGTTTTTCTCATTTTCTGAGTCTTGCTGGCCATCAGGTGGGTCAATACGTGTTTCTTCTCTCCCTGGAGTCTCCTCCCGCAACTCTTGGGTACAATAGTCTTTCCCCACCAGCTTTCTGTTTTTGGAAATGTAATCTTCTACCTCCTGTGCATCTTCATTTTCTCTGCTCTCACAGTCAGTTTCTGCTTGCTGCAGCATTGTATTTGTAGTATGCTTGCTGTTCTCCAATTGATCCTAGTTGCCAATTCCAAAACTCACAAATCTTTGATTTTTCCACAGTAATCAACTCACACTGGGAAGAGAAATATACTCAAATTATTAAAGAAAACAACCGCATCGAGGCACCTAAAAGAATAGGCATGTTTCACCAACGAACTGCGCATGTTTAGACGGGAGGGCAATGATAAGCACATGCCATGGGAACAATCCCACTCCTTGCTGATCCTAGGACAATGCCGTGAGCTTACTTGGAGACAGGTCTTAATTTTATTGCTTCAACGTTTAGAATTGTGCCGGAAGGGGAAAAAAACGACAGGAGCTCCATCCGATTATGATCAAACCGGCTCCCCTTCCCGCTCTGAAGAGCTCATGTGAGAAGCGGCACAGTGGGATAACCAGACCCCCTCCCTTTCAGCCAAACGCCGGGCTCTTGCCCAGGTACGGAGGGGGAGAAAGACGAGACTGAAGTAGTAGGCTACCAAGAAAGCGTCTACTATAGCTACCTCCGCCGCCAAGAAGCCGAACTGCGAGACCGGAAGTTTAGCGAAGCAGATTAGAACGACGCGCTAAGGAACTTCCGGTCTCTTCCGCCCAAAGACCCGGCTGTGGGTAAAACAACCCCCGCCCCCGCTCCCGGCCAGGATGTGAACGCGGACGGGTTCGCGCTGTGCCCGACTACTTATTCCCATCTCTGCGGAGAAAGCGCGTGGCAAGGGAACGCGGGAAACCGAAGCGACGGCATATTGTTATTCGCTCCTTGATTTTTAAAAGCCATGAACTAATGTTTGCTCGCTACACTTTGCCCTACAATCACCATGTTCGGTTGCTACCGATTGATTCTCCTCTGTGTCGCCGACAACGGAATTCAGTTGGGTTGAATCTCTAGCCCCCCAAAACGTGTGCTACGACAAGGTGAAGGTTTTAGTTGACTTTAATATTAATAATAAATATTCAATATTCAATTAATATTCAATTCAATATTAATATTTAAGTCAATTAAATATTGCTGGCAATTCTATAGGAATTATATTTACATATTTGCATATTTACTCTGAAAAAAATATGACTGAGGGATTCAGTCCTATGTTCAGGCCCATAAAAAGATTCAATAGGGAAGATGACCAATGTTTCATTGCCACAGAAAGTCCAGAAATAATGGATGTAAGATAGAGCTACCTAGATCTTGGTGAATTAAAAGGAAATTTTCCCAGAAACGAAAATATTGCAAGACTGGGGTGGTATACCTCTGAATATTGTAGATTCTTCATTTCTGATTTTTTTTAAAATAGCCACAAGGATGTTTTTCCTCCCTGCACAATTCAGACAGTTGGACTAGACCACCCTAGTGGTCCCTTTAAATTCCTGTTCTAAAATTCAATAAGTGAACATCTTAGGGAAATTGTGTGTGTGTGTGTACGCATGTGTACACACTAAATTTCACTAAGATGTTCACTTACAGAATCTTAGAATATCTCCCAAAATTTAGATTTCTACTTTTTAAAACAGAAAAGTTTAGAGTTGAGTGATAAGAGAAAGGCTAGACAACAAATTGTATTTCTGATGAAAGCTTGTTGCCCTCCCCAAGCCTATGAATTTTATTCATGAGTGATTGTTTGAGGGCTGCAATATCAGGGAGAATTTGTGCTGTAAATAATGGCCACATACAAAACCATTGTTCAAATAGAGAATGTACAGAGTTGCAGTGTGGAGTCTCTGGTGTTGACCTTAGTTGGTTGCAAATGTTTCACTCAACTAGGTAATAGTACTAGATAGCATGGAGTTTACTCTCTATTTACATATTTACATATCAGGGGTCTTCAAACTTGACAGCTTTTAGACTTGTGGACTCAACTTCCAGAATTCCTCCTCCAGTTATGTTAGCTCAGGAATTCTGGGAGTTGAAGTACACAAGTCTTAAACTTGCCAAGTTTGAAGACCCTTGTTATATATAGTAAGTTGCCCTGTCAGTGTTGGTGGGGATATGGTTTCCTCCTTCCTAGTTCAATACCCTAATCAAAGAACTACCAATGAAGAATCCCTTTCCCATCATTACAGGTAGGGCAAGCTACTATACATAAACAGGAATTAAATCCCACACTTGCAGGACTCATGATGTTACATAGTCAAATAATGAAACATTTGTCACCAAGCAAGCAAGCAAGTTTGGAGAATACCAAGGACTCTTAACAGGTGTCATTTGTTAACCATCATTAACAAAACAAGCGCCATAAAGGCCTATTTTTTACATACAGGTTTTCTTGGTTGGACTTTTCCAACATTCTCCATGCATGAGATGTTTTGTGAGGGAATGAAATACAGCAATGCCAGAGACATAGAAAATTATCCCTCAAGGAGCAACAACCATATTTAACTTTCTACTTCACTCTGAGTTAAGGAAGCATGTCACTTATTTGTCCCTTCTGGATATTGTGGCCAAGGTCACCACTTACATAAAGTTTACCTATAGAAAGAAGAGAGTGAATGGAAAAGTCAGTGTGGGTGTGCTCTTCAATGGTCAATTCTTTAGATTGTTCTGCTCAGAGAAAAATAGGCAAATGCCATTGCTTTTTATTGCCCCTGTGGGCCTAGTTCTATTTGCCACCAGGCCCAGAAGGGATGAGTCAGAAAAGAATTGTTGCTATTTGGTTGCAGGTTCTCATCTCCACAAGCAGAACTCAAGACAACCAGACAATGTAGAGATCTTAGGGAATTTTCTAACTAGGGTTCTTCCTCCCTGTACTTTTACTAGCTCTTCTGGTTGGCAGAAGAAAGGAGAAGTTTACTCCTTGACAACTTCTTTTCCTTGACAAACTTGATTTTTCTTTCAAAATAAAAAAACAAGAAGCAAACCTCTTCAAAATTGGTAAGCCACAAGCAGCCTGTCCTTTCAGGTAACAAGCGCCTCTCCCCTCCTGTATTTAAGAGGTCGCACACAATTGACTCATCAGTTCTTGGCGGTGCAGCAGTAACCACCTGGATTTCGCACGAGGAGACTATAGTGATCAAAAGCGGATGCGGCAGAATCGACAACATTTATAAATGAGATGTTCCCGGCAAAGGGACTTAGAAAGCATCGCGTATAACAGAGCGACTCGCGATTCGATATCATCCACATGTTCTCGCCCCGCTCCCTGAAGAGCACGACAGCAAGTGCACATGGTCCCCGAGACTTTCCAATCCTTTTTTTCCTACGGATTCTCCCAGGAGGATGTGGCTATAAGCCGTCCCTGCTCTGGTGCGGCATTCTCCCAAGGGGGATATAAAGACATTGCAGAAATACCTTCCCAAACTGCAACTGTAGCACACCACCTGCAACTGGAGCCCTTCTCCCCAAGTAAAGTGGGAAAGAAAACACAATATTTTACCTTTGAATAGTCCCGTATCAACACGTAGGGCCGCTGCCTCCTCCTTTCCTTCAGACGGCTCTGGCTCAGCAGTCAGTCTGGCCTCCGCGGCAGCACTACCTTAAACACACGCTGGGCCGGCTCTGCGCGCCGCCATAACGTGAATATGGCATCCAAACAAGTCGGCCCGCACCGGAAGCCCTCTATGTCAACCTGGGCTCAGCCAATCACTAGAAGCTTTTCTCTGCATCCGGGGTTTGCCTTTACTCCGAATAAAGCACAGCCATGGGAGCAGCTTGGAACTACAACTCCCAGTGTTGATGAGGCAGCCGCGTAGCCGGCTCGAAGATCACAAATAACTTTCGCTTTTCCCTCAAGTCGCGATCTCTTCCCAACGCTTCACGGGATTTGTAGTTTTTTTGTTGTGTTTTCTTCTCGAGCATGCGATGGCGGCGGCGGCGACGGCTGGAAGCGAATGTTTCCTACAAGGTGCCTTTGGCTTTTAAGGCGCTCTCTCAGAGAAATTCAACACAGTAGAGTAGGGTGAGTCTTCTTAAGTTCGAGATTCTTTGTAACGCCGTCCTGGCCCTTAGGAGGCATGTAGCACAGATTGGTGTGTGAAGCACTTGTTTCCAAAAGATATTTCAGTCGTCGCACCACGTGAAAGAACTAGTGGACTTTATGAAACAATTACTCCTGCCCTGTTCGCGGCCAGAGTTGGGATAGGCTGGTAGCTACATTATACTTATAACAGCAGTGGAGCTTTTCCCAGTCCGCATCTATCTTCCACAATATATGTATTGTTGGTGTTCACTTGGTTTTCCAAGTTAGGAGGGGAATGATTCTTACCCTACATCCTGCTTGGTACATTCAGAAGCTCTTTCAAGGTGAAAAAAAATATTTACACAATATCCTTCGCTGGAACGCGTTTTAATATTGTGAACTTAGTTGAAATACTGTTAAGTCTGCAATAAATAATGGTTATTGTGCTACGTGTGAGCATGTAACAATGTTTTACAGTTAAGAGACAGTATTAATAAATACTTAGCAATATTCCAGTTAAACTCAGATGACATTTGGTAAAATGACGTGTTCATAATTGTGAATGCAAGTTGTATATTTGATTGTAGAAGTAAAAGCAGAATTCTAGTAGAGGGAAGTCTGCCATTTTCTATTAAAAACAACACCCTAGGCGATCTGGTTAATTTTGTAGGAGTCCACTCAATCATCTATTATAGCTCTGCTACAAATTACTCTGTTACAGCTGAGTGTAGCATGAAGTCTGCTAGCTAATTTATATATAGTGTATTGTATGAACCCAGAATCATGGGTAACTTGTGTAAATGTTGGTTAGCTAAGCATGTCATATGAACATAGTAATATTTGCTTCAGTAAGCAATGCAAGATATCATTACAGAAACTTAAAATCTTCATTAGGTTTACAGTTGGTTTTTTATTGTACCCAATCAGTTGTAAGATCTTAGCTGGCATCATTTGGCTTTCTTACTGAGGAGTGTGGTTCAGCAAGATTTTATTTGGCAGGAAAATGGGAAGTAAGATGATTGTAAGAAAGATGAAGTAGAGAAAGTAATATGCAAATTATTGAAAGTTAATAAGTACTTTATTGAAAGTGGAGAACTGGTTAAAAGGTTGTAAGACTTTCCTAGTATGATTTAATTGCTTATTGTACCCTATGACTATTATTAAGTATTGTACCTTATGATTCCTGACTCTTGGCAAACGTATCTTTTCTTTTATGTACACTGAGAGCATTTGCATTAAGACAAATTCCTTGCGTGTCCAATCACACTTGGCCAGTATTCTGTTCTATTCTATTTTAGACTGTAAGTGCATAAATCCGTGATGGCAAACCTATGGCACGCAGAGCCACTTCTGCCGGCATGCAAGAGGTCGCCTGGAAGAGCCCCATTGCACACGCCGACAGCCGATTTTCGGGTATCTGGCATGCATGCATGGGGGTGCTGGTAGTGCACAGGAGATGTGTGTTCATGCACAGAGACACACAGTATGCGGGGGGGGCTTGTGCACATGCGCCAAGATGTGCAGCATGCGCAGGGTCACATGCACAGGGGCTGGGGGGGCAGCGCGCATTGCACAGGAGCCGAAAAAGGCTA